TCAGTTATGGAAAGATCGGGTTCCAAAGGCCGGATCCCTTGTGAATCAAGTCACGAAAAGTTCAAGAATCGGCAACAGGCCATGGGCCTATTTCTTCAACGCCGACACTTCTATTCTATTCTATATTCTATTCTATTGGAAGGTGAATCATGAACAGCTAAGCGTGCAGCACTGGGAAATAGAGATAATTTTTCGGTTTGACCGAAGAAAATATTAGGAACACCAGACTGAAGAATTTTTATGCTAGAAATAAAGATTGACCGAAATGAAAAGGGTTTTTATCTGACTAACATGTACGTAAATGGAATTGTAACTTGCAATGACAAACAGTTAATCTATTAATCTATAACTTTAACTGCCTTCAATCAGTTTGAGCTTAAGCATATCAAAAATTTCAACTTCTAAAAAAATTCAATTCACGAAACGAAATAAGCGAATGTTTTACGGAGTAAAATTAACACCTTGGATCATTTTAACTTAAGAAAACAATAATATGCACCACAGAAGGGTTAGACCGCGCTGGACAATGGGCCTGGGGCCATACTTTCAAAACTCGCTAAGTGAACGTAAGTACTTACGCTCTATTTTCTTGTCTATGATTGGTGGATTTTGCTTGAAAGGCCGTCAATGATTGGCTGATGAACATACGATCTCTTAACTTTTTTTGAAAGTATAGGCCCTGAGCTTTTAGAGATCAACCACAGCTGATAGTGCAGTTAAGTTACAATGAGTTATAAGAACTATAATGCGCCTATAAACCTGAATTAAAGGACGCCTCACCCTGAGTCTGGCCTCCTTGAGCTCTGCCACCGCTGAGGTCTCGTGCAGTTTGGTGGTCATAAGTTATAAGGATTATAATGTAATGCGCCTATAAACATGAACTAAAGGACACCTCACCCTGAGTCTGGCCTCCTTGAGCTCGGCCACCGCTGAGGTCTCGTGCAGTTTGGTGGTCATAAGTTCCTCCTCCAGCCGCGCCGCGGACTCGCTGCTGCTGCGGTCCCAGCCTCCCAGGAGACCGNATGCCTGGTCCAGAGCTGCGTCAGCTCACCTGTAAATGCCTGGTCCAGAGCTGCGTCAGCTCACCTGTAAATGCCTGGTCCAGAGCTGCGTCAGCTCACCTGTAAATGCCTGGTCCAGAGCTGCGTCAGCTCTTGCACTCTGTGTCTGAGGTCCTTAAGAGCAAGGTTGGCCTCGGCCTCACGGAGCCTCACGGCGATGAGTTCCTCCTGAAGGTGGGCGACTGAGTGGTCAGGAGTGGCCTCTCTGTTGCGCTTCTGCTCCTCCTCCAGGTCCTGGATGCGCGACTGCAGGTCTCGCGTCGTCGCCTCCGCCTCCGCGGTCTTAAGACGCACCTGACGAAGGGGATATTAAAATAGATAACAATATATATAACAGAGGCAGGTATTACAATATGTAACAGAATTTCATGCAGGAAATAGTAAAAATTCAAAACATCATCTGCGTAGAAGTCCAAAATGCTTCGCCTTATTTTTCTATGGTTATGTAGAAGACCGACATCGTAAATTTTTGGGTAGAATAATTTGAAACTGAATATTTCAGTCGTGAATCTGATTGCCCTTTTCAGGCAAGAGTGCAGCTCCAACTTAAGAAAAGTGCACTGGAATCAAATTAACTTGACCACAGAAATTAATGCTTCAACAAGATAAAATTTAATATATCAACCAGTAACATAAACAACCATGTTCTGCATGCTTCTATAGCTGAGGGATAAATTGAGATAAGATTTAGATAATATAAAGTGAGATAAAATTGAGATAATATAAATTGAGATTAAAAAAATAATTGAGATAAAAATTCAAATTGTGCTGATTTAACATAATATTTCATACCTGTACGAGTTCCTCCTGCAGACACTTGACGAGCTCCTCCTTCTGCGCGAGTTCCTCCTCCCTCCTGATGAGCTCAGCGAGCGAGGACTCCCTGGAGTTGCTGTTCTCCTCGATGGTTCCTGTGAGCTGCCTGATCCTGTCTCGTGCGTAGTTCAGCTGCTCCAGCGTCTCACCGTCGTGCTGACGCAGTGCTGCCAGCTCACGCTGACACCCAAACAAAATAATTCAATCAATAGCCTTGCAATAGAAAATAAATCAAATTTTCAGTAGTTCAGCTGCTCCAGCGTCTCACCGTCGTGCTGACGCAGTGCTGCCAGCTCACGCTGACACCCAAACAAAATAATTCAATCAATAGCCTTGCAATAGAAAATAAATCAAATTTTCAGTAGTTCAGCTGCTCCAGCGTCTCACCGTCGTGCTGACGCAGCGCTGCCAGCTCACGCTGACACACAAAAATAAAATTTTCATGTAAATATCTATATTGGAATCAATCTCGTGAAAAAATAAAGAGTCTAGCCGTCGTGCTGACGTAGTGCTGCCAGCTCACGCTGACACCCAAACACAATAATTCAATAAACTTGCAATAGAAAATAAATCAAATTTTCAGTAGTTCAGCTGCTCCAGCGTCTCGCCGTCGTGCTGACGTAGTGCTGCCAGCTCACGCTGACACCCAAACACAATAAATTAATAACTTCACAAGAGAAAATAAATCAAATTTTCAGTAGTTCAGCTGCTCCAGCGTCTCACCGTCGTGCTGGCGCAGCGCTGCCAGCTCACGCTGACACAAGAAGACAAAAACTTACTTCAATAACCACGCAATAGAAAATAAATCAAATTTTCAGTAGTTCAGCTGCTCCAGCGTCTCACCGTCGTGCTGACGCAGCGCTGCCAGCTCACGCTGACACCCAAAAATAACTCAAATTTTCATGTATATATCTATAATGGAATCAATCTCGTGAAAAAATATAAAGTCTAGTCTAAACAACTAGAATTTTCATGTAAATATATACAATGGAATGAATTTCGTGAGAAAATAAAGTCTAGCCATCGTGCTGACGTAGTGCTGCCAGCTCACGCTGACACGCGTACATAAAAACTAACATCAATAACCTCGCAATAGAAAACAACTCGAATTTTCATGTAAATATCTTCAATGGAATCAATCTCGTGAAAAATATTAAGTCTAGTGTTGGGAGTTGATCAAATACGTGCTCATGCCCTGGGTAAGGAACAGCCAAGAACGCGACAACGCTTTTTGGTACTTTGCAATGAGTTAAATTACGAGCTGATATTTGAACAGCTTGCAATAAATAATCATTCAAAGATATTCGCTTTCGAAACACAGGAATGCCTATTAGGGATATTAAAGAAAATTTTTCAGATAATTCATCACGAGTACTAGGCTTCGAGCCAGGGGCCATACTTTCAAAACTCGCTAAGTGAACGTAAGTACTTACGCTCTATTTTCTTGCCTATGATTGGTGGATTTTACTTGAAAGGCCGTCAACGATTGGCTGATGAACTTACGATCTCTTAACTTTTTTTTGAGAGTATAGGCCACTGATGAAGAAGCCTACCTAGAAGCCCAAGGGACACGGCGCAGAGAACCCCGAGTCAGTGTACCGTACGTACTACTTATGTTAAAAAATGAGAAATTGTACAACCTCACATAGTACTCTTATTTACGCGTGATTTTTCAGTAAGTTTCGTAGACATCGCGAAAATAATGTAAGTTCAAGCAAATATTGCTGCCAAGATGGATATATTAACGCAACTAAAAAGGGTCTTCGCCGAAATTGAGACTTTAAACTAAAGGAATATAAAGGAATTAAACTACTAGATAATTTATGATTTTAAATTGTAAAGTAAAATGGTAAGACATACAAAACATAATTGCATTAAAACAAAAAGTTTGCTTACACTTCTACACAGCTTCAAATTTTCTTCCAGGCTAATTCGTCTACATTAATTTAATAATAATGCACATTGAACATTATTTCTATATAGCAACTGTATGATCAAAATACCAATAGCAAAGCTAAACATTAATTCTATATAGCAACTGTATGTTCAAAATACCAATAGTAAAGCTCAAGACAAAAATCTACCTTAATGGCGAAGTTGTGTTCTGCCTCCTCGGCCCTGGACACCTGCCCCTGAATGAGGCGGTCGGCCAGAGCTGAGGACTCAGCCTCGAGGCAGTCGATCTTCTGACGCAGAAGACGGTTCTCTGTGCGCAGTCTCTTGAGTTCGACGAGCTCCTCTTGCTCTTTGGTCTTCATTGCTGTGTACTCTTTCTCCATTTTCTTCATCTTCTTAGCGTTGTAGCGAATGGAGTAAGCCATCGTGAAGTAAGATTCAGGGTCAGCTTCAAACTTCACAGGCAGGTCACGCTGGAAGTACTGCAAACACAACAGGACGATGTAGTTAAAGAACATTTATATCACTTAAGTGAACGAGCTTTTATGCCACATTATTTAACACGTTGACTACGATTGCTTCATCTTGTACTATTATTTCATTTTTTGTACTTTTTTCAAGCAGGGTTGCCAGACGGTCATTTTTTCCGGACAAATTCCGTGATTTAGTTTTTCTCAATTGCGTTGGCCGGCTAAAATTTATGATAGGGGTACTTCCTAATTAAATTTCAAATACTGCAAAAAAGAAAATAAATGGAATTTTTATAGCGGAACCTACAAAGAAAATAGTATACATTGAATTATCGGCTTTTTTGGTCTTTTTTGTTCTCGGATTTGGCCGATTTTAGGCAACCTGAATTATGTACCACTACCTCCTGGAGAAATACATTTTGTGGTACGCATATGTACCAATACGTAGTCAACGTGTTAACGAACATTTATACGTATAGCACATCAGGTCACAAGCTTTTATACCACACGAGATAACGAAATTATTCATGTTAGTTAACATCACATTAGTTAATCATGTCGCGGTTGAGCCGTGTCACAAGGAGGACGTGTACGCTGCGCGGGCTCACAACTGGCAATGTCACTACGCCGGTTTAACTCATTTGTAATATTATAAACGCATTTTTTGCTGAAGCATTTCAGTAAAAAGACTGAAGCGAAGTCAGTGAAAGAGAATGCGATTAAAGAGAAGAAGCGAGTGAAAAATGATTCCCTGTTTTTCTTACTGAAAAAACGAGGGCTCTTATATCGAGTCGAAATCGATTTTCACGATGGCAAAATTTTAACGTTGCAAACGACAATAATAAATTTGATGATCAACTTTTGGGGAGCTTGAAAATTTGAGTGAAAATAAGTAAATAATTAGTGTAAATCAGTCTTTTATCGTTGACGACTGCCTAATTATTATAACAAGATATTTTGGAGTCAGATCAAGGCAGAAGAGTTTAACTCGTTGTGAACACCGGAATCGCGAACTTAGGTCGGGTAGATCCTGCTTAGCAATTCAAGATTCAACAATTACCTTACATGTGCTGACTGGAATGTAGAAAAAATGAATATACTGAAATGTTCAGGGAGATATTGAAATTGGTAATAAGCTGTTCTGCCGATTAATTTACTGGGATAGTGACACATCAGTTGAGACTGCACTGCTTAACATCAAAGTCTATATACACGCCGAAGCAACAAGAGCAGCAGATGCTCTGCACTCTGTATTGTCATAGATTACATAATCAAGGCCTGCGCTGCTGCTTGCTTCTTACATAAGCTCAAGCATCACTCCTTCACACTCGAACAGAATAATCCAGTAACTGCATGAATAGCGCCACAGGTCAGGTACACATACAGGGTGCGCCAGAGAAACTTACTAATTTGAAAGGTCAATAAAAACAAAAGTACTTCAATGATTGTTTATTTTTTTTTATTTGAGAATACAATTTCCCAGTTTTTTTAAACAGTCTTGAAAATGAGATCGGATAAATGGCGACCCCCATTGCGCATACACTGATGAAGTCGATTTTTGAAATTCGTATCCACTCTTTGCAGCATATCAATCGGTATGTTGGCAATGGCGTCGCGAATGTTGTTCTTGAGGTGTACTATGGTCCGTGGTCGATCGACTTAAACCAGACATTTCAAATAATCCCATAAAGAGAAATCGCATGGAGTCAAATCTGGAGAGCGTGGCGGCCATTGGTGATCGCCTCTGAGAGAGATGAGGCGGTCGGGGAAATGTTGTCGCAACAAATTCATCGAGTCTCGTGCTGTGTGTGCTGTGGCTCCATCTTGCTGAAACCACACGTTCCTAAAGTTCATTTCTTCGAGTCTTGGAAGAAAAAGTTCCTCGATCATGTTCCTGTAACGAGCTCCAAGAACGGTAACTGCGCGTTCGTTTTTTTTAAAAAATAAGGACCAATTGTTCCCATTACCGACGTCGCACATCAGACAGTAACTCGCTCACAGTTAAGTGGCTTCTGGTGAAGCTCACGTGGATTTACATCACACCAATAAGGCATGTTTAGCCTGTTGACGCAGCCGGAAATGTGGAAGTGAGCCTCGCCACTGAAAAAAACGACCGCGTCTTCAGGTAGGTTGTCAACCAGCATTTCACATGCATTTTGACGAGCAACAAAATCGCGTTCAGTTAATTCTTGCACTACAGCAAATTTATTTAAGAAACAAACTTGGGAACTTTCCCCTCCAGATGCGCCCTCTCTCGCCCCTCTACCCGCCCAACTCACCGCGCAGTAATTTTTTCAAATAAGTAACTTTCTCTGGCGCACCCTGTATTATTGGTTTTATTTCTTTTTGATATCAAAAGAGCGCAATATTAAAGCGATTTAACAGAAGCGTTTATTGATGCTGACCTTAAGCATGCCCTCCATGTCCATGGCGAAGAGCTCCTCCTTGCTGATGGTGAGGACGGCGAGGGCGATGCGGAAGATGACCTCGAGGCCGTCCACGAGGAAGCAGTCCATGACACGACAAGCGCCCCCCAGCGGCAGCGACGTCGCGAATAACGTCAGGAACCACGACGACGCATACCTGCATGCACGACGTAAACGTTAAATGACAGCAATTATTTCTTTAGAGCTGTTAAGAGAGAAAAAAGCCTGCACGCACCACGTATACGTTAAATGACAGCAATTAGTTCTTTGTAGCTGTTATGAGAGAAGGAACGTAAAATATGGTGTATTGCAACCTGTTTTGCCGAACGTGCCAGATGAATGAGACATCGAGAAATGTAAAAATATAAAAAAAAACAGTAGCATTGCAGTACCAAGTAATGATGAAGTGGCACTGTAAACCATAATGGCCGTTCACCACAGCCATCACATAGCCGTTCACTGCAGCCACTCACATGGTCGTTCACCACAGCCACTCAGTGGCGCTCACACAACCATATAACAAATATAACACAGCCACATAACACATATAACACAGCCACTCACATAGCCATATACGACAGCCACTCACATAGTCATATACCACAGCCACTCAGTGGCACTCACACAGCCATATAACACACATAACACAGCCACTCACATGGACGTATGGAAGCTCTGTGAGGTGAAGTGTGCGTGTAGGTCAGGCAGGAGCTCCTGTATGAGCGTCTCCAGCTGGTACATGCAGAGGCCGAGCTCAGCCATGGACGGCTTGAACATCTCCCGCAGGCGGTAGTCCTGCATCAGCTTCACCAGCACCGCGAACGCCTCCTCTTCCGGCATCTGGTGAAGGCAAATCAACGTTAAGACTCTGGGGCCATACTTTCAAAACTCGCTAAGTGACGTAAGTACTTACGCTCTATTTTCTTGTCTATGATTGGTGGATTTTGCTTGAAAGGCCGTCAATGATTGGCTGATGAACTTACGATCTCTTAACTTTTTTTGAAAGTATAGACCCTGGTCCTCAGACTTGATGAGCAGAGGTGGGCAGTAGCGCGCTACATGTAGCGGCTGCTATTAGCGGCCGCTACATTTTCAGTAGCGGTAGCGGGGCTACATTTAAGCAATTGCAGGTAGCGGCGCTACATTTAAGCAATTGTAGCGGTAGCGGTAACGGTTGCTAACTACATTTAGAGCATGTAGCGGTAGCGGTAGCGGCCGCTACATTTCAAAGTAGCGCTGCCCAGCTCTGTCGGCATGTTCATATCGCTGTGATAGTGCACGACTAGACGATCAATCGTCCCTACTTCACAGCTATACCATAAGATTTTGATGAAACGAAGATAGAAATTACGATGGGTGGGAAATTATGATAGGCATGTGCAATTAGATTTTCAAAAAAAATATAACTCAGTACTCACTGCAGTGAGTGACAGAGAGCGCATTTTCTCGTCGACGAAAACTTGAGGTCACGGACGGACGGACAGACGGACAGACGGACGGACAGACAGACAGACAGAGACACACAGACAGACAGACGGACATGGCGAGCACAATAGTGCATTTTTTCATAAATGAGAAAATGCGCTAAAAACACAGCACGAGAAGCATTGAACTAGAATATTCCCAATTACGTTACTGTATCTGATGATATATAGTCAAAGCAGTCCTAATTAGTTAGCAGGCCGCAGTGTGGTTATGAACAGCAAAATTGGGGCAGTGAATTTTCGTATCGAGACCTCGAAGGCTGGTAAAGGAAGCGATGTCTTGAATATGTCACTGGCCAGACATGGAATAATCCTCAACAGTGACGCTACTATATAATTATATAATAAAATAAATTATAAAATACCTGCATGAGGAGCAGGCCCACAATGAAAGCCGAGCCCTGGCAGTAGCCCACTTCCCGGTCGTGGAGGCTGTAAGCCTTCATCACGTTGAAGAGACTCTCCTGGCCGAGGCCATCCTTCTCCTTGAAGAAGTCGTGCTCGGGGTACGTGCGTGCGATGTCGCGTCTGATCACCTGAACAACGAAAATCTTCTTCAATAACTTCAATCAATGATCATTAACAACATCGATGTAGCAAGTCGAGCTCTAAACTACAAAGAATGTCGTTGTTCATAAATCCAGCAAACGTAACACAACCGACAATGATTTTCAATAAGAACTGAACAAAAGACTATCGATGGCACTATACGGAACTGTAGGTTGATGAAGGAAATAGCCCAGACTTTGACATGACAGAAAGACTGAGACTGTAGGTTATCAACAATATCCCAGACTTTGGCATATCAGAAAGACTGGGACTGTAGGTAAACAGCGGCTATAGCCCAGACTTTGACATAACAGAAAAACTGGGACTGTAGGTTAACGACGGCAATAGCCCAGACTCTGCTATAATAGAAAAACTGGGACTGTAGGTTAACGACGGCAATATCCCAGACTTTGATAAAACAGAAAGACTGGGAATGTAGGTTAACGACAGCAATAGTCCAGACTTTGATATAACATAAAGACTAAGTCGAGGAGGTAACCTTTTCACAAGCAGACGTGGTCTTGAGGTGCTCGGCGTACTTGAACTTGTCGGGGGAATTGTTGGCATCGCACAGCAACTGCCAGGTGATGCCTCGGAAATGTACAGGGATGCCCTTGCGCACCAGGTCCTGGCAAGATAACAAATGCAATTGGCCTCTCGATAAGAGAATATGTAAGAATCAAGCTCGTGGTAAAAGGTAACAGATGATGAAAAATATTGATCTGCGACAAATGAAGCGACACAAAATATTGAAGACTGAAAGGGGCAGAAGCATACTTAAATGCATGTTTGAGAAATCACATTGAAGCTTCAATATAAGATTATGTACGAAATATTTTCGCATAGAACGAAAGTCAAATAAGATATGAGACATGAGCTCAATGCAAAACTTCGATAATTTAGTTACTACTTACTGATGTATTTCCAATTAAATCACAAATTTGTCCAGAGTTAAAAATTTCACAAGCATACGTACAAGATAAATTGACCACGAATAGAAGCAAAAACAACCGAAACTTTGCTGGGGGTCTCACCTTTACTTGCTGGCTCTTCTTCTTGTTCCAGTTCTCCCAGTCATTGACGAGTCTTCCCCAAAGACCCCAAAGATCTTCCTCTGGATCCTGTGTTCCACCAGTGACACCTCCGCCTCCCGACGAGCCTCCACCAGACGATCCTCCCGAGCCTCCAGACTGAACTGAGATCTGAAACCGACCAACGATCGTCATGGATTCGTTACCCTGGATCTTGACAGAATAACGCGATGCGTTTGACTATCGCTTCAATTTAATAAATCTAGCAATATTCCCGGATCGTGTACACTCCTAAATTCTACGAGGATATGAATAAATGATTGACATCTGGATTGCTATGGAAGGTGAATTACTTATCAGCCTAAAGAAAAGGTTGGTAAGAGGCAAATTATCAATACTTTTGAGATTGCGTTCCCTCCAGGTGTACGAAAATCAGTAGGCACATTTAATCCAGAATGAAAAAATTATGAATGATGTAAAACTCAGCAAGTATTATATATATATAGTAATAATTATTAAATTTTATATCTATAAAACATACCTATATTATAATATATATATTGAGACTATATTTTTGAATATTATTATTAATTCATTTATAATAATAATTTTAAAAATAATTTTATTTCCAATCTGTCACTAACAATTTGATAATTACATTAAAAATTATGAATAATAACATCTTTTTTTTCCGAAGACGCCTTATGAGTATATTATATTTGACTCAAGGTCATAATTTCACGAAACTCGAGAGTGCTTTTAAATCTCAAGTTAATAATAATAATAATAATCAGCAGGACATTAAAACTTTGCCGTGACTCATCTGGCTAGACTGAGCAGCAAGAGTCGCGCGTAGTTTTCACTATTTAAGAGCATTGCAACGCAGGTTTTGAAACTCTTTGGGTAGTATTGGCTTTCAGTTCTTCCCTTAATGTTCTTTCCTTTAATTTGTTCACTTTCAAGCCCAAACTTGTGTTCTCTTGAAGTCAGGTCACGACTCTCAGTTCTTTTGGTTATTTCCTTTTAAATATTGACTTTAATGTTTTGAAGTTTAAGGCTTGACGTTTGAAATGAGGGCCTGCTTACCTGTAAGGTGTCGGATGATTGACGAAACCAAATGCAATTAATATTAATAATAATGCAATTCCTCACTACATCCATATAGACTCAGAGGTTTAACCGATACCCCGGGTTCAGACAGACTTAACACTTTGACTGCAATTGCTTCATCTTGTACTATTATTTCACTTTTTGTACTGTTTTTAAACAGGGTTGCCAGACGGTCATTTTTTCCGGACAAATTCCGTGATTTAGTTTTTCTCAATTGCGTTGGCCGGCTAAAATTTATGATAGGAGTACTTCCTAATTAAATTTTAAATACTGCAAAAAGAAAATAAATGGAATTTTTATAGCGGAACCTACAAATAAACTAGTATACATTGAATTATCGGCCTTTTTTGGCTTTTTTGTTCTCGGATTTGGCCGATTTTAGGCAACCTGAATTATGTACCACTACGTCCTGGAGAAATACATTTCGTGGTACGCATATGTACCAATACGTAGTCAACGTGTTAAATTCGATATACTTAATGAGGACGTGTTTACCTGTGAGGTGTCGGATGATTTACGGGAATGGCCGACGCCAGGACCGGAGTAGGCAGACTGTGTGGACAGCGAGTTCAGCGACTTGCTGTCAGTCTCGATCATCCTGCCAAAGAGAGAAAGATAAAGTAAGTTCTCACATCTTCTCAAGAAGTAAGATAAGTAATACAACTTGTACAGCACGAAAAGGAAAAGAATCGGCGACAGGCCACATCAGGCCTACACTTCAGCGCCGAGATCAATATGTTATGTTATGTTATGTTATAGATAAACAATTTGTTAATTACTAGTGAAAAATTACTATTGAAAAAAATGCTCTATTGAATGGAAATGTTGCAAAATTAAAGAATACCGCATGTAAGTCAGTTAAAGTTAACCGCGAGACTGATGGGAAACGCCATGGCTGAGTGTACGAGTGACTCTGAACACACCTATTCTTGCCCCACGAGAACATGTCTATGAGGATATTCCTGCGCAGCGTGTTGGGGCTCTGAGAGAAGAGCTCCTGCAGAGACTCGGACCGCGAGGGCGCCGCGTACAGAGAGTCCAGGTTGCTGGGTCCGAACTTGAGGAACGCCGGGACGGCCCGCGGGGAAGATCTGGGGGACGACGGTCCGGGGTCTCTAGAATTCGAATGCCCCGACGCAAGTGGTGATATGGGGATTGGGGATGAGCGGAAGCGTCCACTTCCTGGGGACGAGCTGCTGCTACGTGAGTGGGGAGTGCGACAAGTGTCCTCGCGGCCCGAGGATTGGCTGCGCTGAGGAGCATCGGAGCTGTGGAGGTCTTGATGTTCTCCTCGCAGTCGAGATTGTCGCACGAGTCGCCTCGAGTTTGCAGGTGAAGAGAGGCATCTGATGGGGCTGTAAGTCTCGGATGAAACACACGTCGAAGTTTTTAGGGATGACGTGTGTTCAGTGGGAGGGCGGGAAGGGTAGCCGCCGCACAAACCAAACACATCGTCGTCGCTACTGTCGCCCATGCTTTATTTTAGATCTTTTGTGATTTTAGATCTTCTGTGAACAAGGCACGAAAAGGAAAAGAATCGGCGACAGGCCACATCAGGCCTACACTTCAGCGCCGAGATCACTATGCTATGTTATGTCACGCATCCAACGGAGGGAGAGCAGCTTATAGCGCACGCGGGTTATGGCACGCGCACTACATCCACTGGGGCCGGGTTGACAGTAAGTCACATTACAACCATAACTTGGGTCAGCTGGTCTTCACGGGTCTGAATGTAATATGCACTCCATGGTCAGATCTTCAGGCGAACTAATGTCATGAAATAACTGGGCTCTTCTGGCTAAAAGGAACGATAGCGAAAGTCTTTTACCGAAAAATATATAAGAATACGCCAGTAATTTCTAAATACCTACGTGATAGAAAAACACCTAAAGAAAGGTGTAAATAAATTGAGATGACGCAGTAATTTAATGATTTTATATTAGGCATGCTTTATTATAATAACAGTTTCTGCGTACAAAAATAAAAAGAAACTCAGGAATAACACGAACTAAAACGAATACAATTTTTTAGGGTTTTTAATAAGAGACATTTTAATTCTGGAACTTTTACAGGTCGGAGGTACAGGTCGCACTAGTGAAGGATTAATATTGTGGCTTTCATGTGCATGTGTAAATATTTTTGAGAATAGATTTACAATTCGTATAGTTTTAATATGTATTCGTTGTAGGTATAGCTGTTCATTGTATGTAATCCGGCAATTATTTTAGCGTTCTATTGATTACTTCTGTATTTTCTTTTGCAGGGAAGTTTAGAGCATGAACTTGGGACATTAAATGTTAAACGCAGTGAACTTTGACTTCCTCTGGAACATTATATAAGGATTGGGTTGATGGACGATCATGAGCCATGAACGATAGCGTGATGCTTGGGCCTAGTTGCTTTTCGGAGTGAGCCCACTGCAAAGTTACCGGGAAAATCTACACACCACGCATATATAACTCGATAATTAAGGCCTATAGTTTTGCTTTAAAAAGTTAAAGGACTATTGAAGACGCAGTAAAACAATGAGGAATTATGACAAGAATGTTTGCGAATTTGATGAAGATTTTCAAGATGTCACTCAAGAGTTAGTCGAGGGTTTAAAAATCAGGGACGATTTTTTGTCGCGTTACTTGCTGCGCAAAAACAATGCTATTTCAAATAAAATATAGTTAAAAACAAACCCCTTGAAGAACTACCTCAATAAACCGATTTCGTTCGAGTATGGAAAGTTCCTCGTTTAAAATCGTTCAGTAAACAACTAGAATATTTTCGTCCTGACAATATAGAATATTTCGTCCTGAAGCTACACATTTTTTAGACTTATCGGCAGCCGACTAAATCTTTAGGCAGCCGACTAAATCATTGCAGGAGAAATGGTAACAGATTTATCGACAACCGAGAAAACACAATTTATATCAACGATATAACTGTAACGATTTGAATGTGAGGAGTAGCAGCAGCTGCAGCACATGCCATGAGTGACACCTACATGCAGGAGCGTCGTGCCCAAATACGTGATAAAAAGCGTGCCGATGCGGGGCCCACAGCACACTCCCCAAACTGGTCACAAATGCAGCAGTAACTGAAGAACTATCATCTGTTTAATATTAGAGGACAAATTCACATTAACTAATGAGAAATTAACGCAAGGATCTGATTTAAAATGGCTTCTTATAATACAACCTCCTCTTTCGACATCGGTACACGTTGTATATGTGCAAGCATTCTCAACTTGCCCGGAACAGTGACTCCCAACATACGTAATTAAGAACAATAACCGAAAGTTGTTATTAATCATTTCCAAGCAACCATGATATATTATTTGCAAAGTTCATTTTTATAGAAGTTGATCGAAAAACGCGTAGGTATTTAAGAATATCCAACTTAGATGTTTCTCATTATCTTAAATGAAATTCCAGTAAAATGTAAAAACTCCGAAATATTAAACTAAAAACTTGGAGCTTCGCATAAAGGATTCATTGTATTCCTTTTCACCTTATTTCAGATAACTTAACGCCGTAAATAATGGACAGAACTCCTACGCCAGGGAACACGTATAATAAAATAAGTCGGTCTCGTATGCAAGCTGAAGTCGAACCCGTTTATTGCAACACCTCGAGCTCCGGCAGTCTGGCCGGAAACAATGTGCCACCGGCCGCAGAGCGGAGCCGTAAACGAACGAGCTATTCAAATGACACTGCAGAGCTTTGCTCCGGAATGTTGCAGTTGGGCATCTTTCCTCACTCCATGACTTATGGCTTCCGCATTCCGGCTTTTATTGAAAAGCTCGACACGGAGACAAACGAGACCGAAATCCGAGGGATGATCGGCGCCCAAGTTTCGAAAAGCAATTTTCGAACACGTGGTTTGCGACCGCTGGCAGAGGGCCAGTTCCAAAACGAGGTGAAGCACAGATTCGAGAAATAGGATTCCGAGTAATCACAAAAATTAATGCAAAGAGTGAAACGATTTTTCAGAAAAAGACTTATTCCAAAGTAAGACCCTTTGGCAAAAAAAAAAAAAGAATCCCCAAATCTGGAGAAATTAAAAAAAACGTTCCTCTCAGCATCGAATAATTTTACAGGTATATTCAAGTCAAGTTCAAAAACAGAAATAATAAAATCTTTTAGTAAAATGATTAATTTTCTATAAATTTGCTATTAAGCAGTCAATGGAAAACGACGCCAAGCAATGATGACCGTGTCGGTAAAACGTCTCTAAACTGCCATCACGGAGGACAGAACAAACTCAACTCAGACTTATTTTACCAATTTAGTTCAAGTATCCTTAATTGAATGAAGTTCACAACATGCGAGAACAACAAAAATAATTAAAACCACTACGTAAAACAATGCAAAATTACGTTTGTAAAATTTGTCTATCAATTTCCCCGACTACGGTAATTCGTTAACTCGCGCAATTTGATTACTCAAATTGCAATTGATCGCTTTAATTATATTATAGAAGGGGTCTCAATTTCACTGTCGGTAACGAAATGGCAATAAATTCAGGAAGGAGAAAAGTTGATCTCCGGAAATAAATGAAGCTTTCAAACTAATTAATTCCCTCGAGTGTTTTTAAATCTTTATTATCACGATAATTTGCTTTGACGGGCATCTACTGAAACAAATCCGTCTATCGCTACGAAACTGCCGAAACTGTGAAACGATGAAGAAGTAAAAAGATTTTAAATCAATCGAACCGAATTAAATCGGACATTTTGTTGAGAATAAAAATTGCTCATTATCAGATAGTCTGATGAGTTCATACACGAATGCAATTTACACAACAGCTCTAACTGTACGTTAAATGAGGAGTCGGTTCAAACGAGTCGGTAATAGTGAAATTGTACACAAGTTTTTTTCTGAGTGAAAATAAGTTACAGACAAGTTAGAGTCAAGCGCAACGTCGTGAACTGCAAGAAGTGCGCCTCGGGGGCACCACGTAGAATCAAAATCAAAAGTTTATATACGAGCATATGCACTTGCACTTTCAATAGGGCAAGTTTTGGAGTTTTGCACTTTCAATAGGGCCATAATTTTCAGAGTATAACATGCAAAATCATATATCACCTTTGTTACGCAGTTTTATATTGTAGCACGCTGAACTAGAAAAAAAAACAAGTTGCTCATAAGTAAAAAAAACTACTCCAAATCAAATATATATCCTACCTACAAGACACGCTCCAGTAGAGCGAGAGACAGGGACTAAAATGCATTATAGCCGGGGAACAATGGTCGAGATGATGATTATATTAATTAAGCTAGCGGAGTATTTATGCACATATGAATTGATTTGGAACAATAATCGTGAGAATGTAAGCCATATTGCCATGCAAGCCCCCGACCGCAGAGTTTGGTCTACCGCGCCAACGTCCGAGATTCTCATCCGCGAAAAACGCTACACGGATCCACGTCACCACATATTGCAACGCTCGCTGCAGTGCCACTGGCTGATAGACAACGAAATTTCGAGGGCAAATAAACCGCTGCGAATATCAAGCAGGATTATTATAAGGGTCGAGTGCACCAGAATCTACGTTGAGGATGCAGCTAGGGATACCTATAAATATTTGAACAGGCTACGCGCAGGGAGAACTTGCAAGTGATACTCATCAAAAGATTATTCATGTGTCGACTGCTCCTGTTCCATTGATCGAAATTATTTCGAACTTAACAATACCTGGGAGTGTCAAGTGGAGGCGAAAGTCGAGAATTTTTCATGAATTTGCGATGTAATTAAAGGCATTGGGTACAAAGATTAAATAGAGCGCGTTTCGAGGATGACAGATTCTCTGGAGCAAAATTTGATGTGCCATCAATGGATTTTTTATAAGGGATCCCGGTAGAATATCTACCTGCCACCGGTATTGTCGATATTTGCTGCTCAGAACAGAGATCCCCGCGAACACGGTACGTGGTACGGCAGCTTTAATTTGCATAAACCGGGATACCGGCAGCACGTTTCCGACTTAGTGAGGCGGTAAATCTTACCCACGAGGCATGCGTCAGGCGAAAAACATAAAATGCAATCTCTAACCGAAAATAAGCGTTAGTTTTTTGACAAATATTTGCTGATGCTTTCATTTAAAATATATAAACTGAAGTGAACGCGCGAGTTTTTCATTCGAAAGTCAAAGGCATCTAAGCAGTCGAAAAGAAGAGTAAAACCGAACGCAGTCGCTGATCAAAAGAGAAGTCGAGAAATTACAATGCAAATGGTCTTGACGAAGCCATTGTTCGAGGAGCCCACAGTACGATAGCCAGCCGTGCGCATTACGACTCGCAATAGACGCTATTTTTCGGTCATGATATTTTTCGCGCCCCAGCGAAGGTCAAGTCTCCACTGAATGAGCGACTGAAAACAATTCTTGAGCGTCAGGCAATACGTCTTTTGAAGATGAGACAATCTGAACAAGAGAATTTTAATGCCGCAATAAAAGATTTTATCAGCCAATTTTGCTGGGAAAGTAGAGGTCAAGGTGTTTTAAAAAAGGCAAGA